GGAATTTTTATCTGTTTACTAAGAATATATTCGTCTATTCATAATAGTCAGCCCTGCTATTTAGTATTTATCATATCATCCTGTTTGAATTTTTATTGCTACTCAGGGAAGAACATGTGAATTTGCTCAACATTTAATTTTATTAATGTCAAATACCTTTTTGAGGCATCAGTGTTGCTAAGCATTCTAAAACAGTGAGGAAGAACTTGGACATTAAATTATTTCCTACTTGTTAACACTTCATAATTATAATTTAAAAGCAATTAATAGGGCAACTATTTTGTAAAATGAGATATATTAGATTGTGCCACCAAAACAAGTAAATAAGTATTGTTGTTGTTTCTGTGTTTATAAGTTAAACTAAGTTTAAAGGATTCTTCTGTATCTCACTATCTTCTGATACCAGCCAATATTTTATCCTCATCTCTTCTCTCTCATCTCTCCCTGAGTCATCTCTCCAAGGGAAGATTGAAGGTCAAGGCTTTGAATGTGTCCACATAAATGGAAAAGCAGAGATGGTAACTCATCTCATTAACAATGGAATTTTTCTACATATACCTATGACTTGATGATAAATTCCAGAAACTCTGACTGGGCAGAATGCAAATGCAACTCCTCCATAAAAATATAATAGGCCAAGAATTGTATTTTAAATTTCTTACCCTGACACCCCCCCCAAATGTTGATTGTTTGTAAACATGATGCTCGACACTGAATTTGTTTTTACATATCATCTTGCTGAATTTCTATGAAATTGTGGGACGAAGTTGCCTTAAGTTCATATTTGCAATTCATTTTATATGAATTGATGACTGCTCAGACATTTCAATTAGCTTAAATACTGCTATTCATTCTTTTGAATAATATAAAGTTAGAATAATTTATGGCTCTTAAATTGGTCCAAATCAAAACTTTCATAAAATTCCTGGATTCACAATATCTGATTGAATATCTCTCTATACTTTGCCAAATATGTTGTCTTGCTGGTATCTTCAATAATTGACCACCTCAATAATTGCTCCAATAAATCAAATAAGGTCACAGTAGGAGGATTATTTGAACTATCATTTTCTGCATACTTATCCTGACTTAATGTTTTTTGATAATCTGGTATGGATTATTTTTTTTGTGAGATCAGTTTTTTCTTCTTTTCTGGATGTAAGTTGTAATGCTTAGTTTTACAAAACTTTTTTAGTTTTACACAGTTGAAAAACATTATATGTTAAGATTTCATATTAATAAATTCATTTCTAATGTTAATAAATTTATTTATAAGCTGTTCTAGCATGTCATCATACTATTCCTTAATAAATTTGAAACTTCTTTATGCTTTTTGTAAATTCTTTTAAAAATACTCTCAAAGTTGATGACTCAAAATATGATTTTTTGTTTTTATTTGTCCATGAAAAAAATATGCTTCCTAACATAAGGGTGAGATTACTCATTATACCCAGTAAAGTCTTTATAACCCATGTGAAAAAGCCATTTAAAATGGAAGATAAGAGATTCAGTGTAAATAATTTATTACAGTTGTTTGTGAGGAACATTTCTGAAGATTAATTAAAATGTATCTGTTCACAAAGGATACATTTTATATATGTGCTTTTTTAATGATAGGAGCAATTTCAACACCTGAGTTTAAAACAGGTCCAATGGAAAGCAAGCTTTATCCAAGACATAAATAAAGCCCTTTACAAATAGCCATTTGGAACTTCACTCTTTGAAAAATCTCCTATAGTCCTTTTTCAAAGGCAAGTTAATGTGTGCTTGGGAAGGGCAATTAAATTGTCAGAATTTTTTTAAAAAATGTTTTTAAGTAGAAAGTAGCCCAGAGAATAGTCATTGCATTGATATTGATTGTCTGAACAGAGAACATTAGTCTTAAGGTATTTACTCTGCTACCTCTACACCAGAGGCTCTCCTTCAAATCAAGTCAATTCCTTGAAGAGATGGCTACCGGAATACAGAAATGAGGCTGAAGAAGGACCTGATTTTTGCTCTCTAGCCTTAGTCCACTAAGTCTGATTGTTTCTGGACCTCTTCCACTTCTTCCAACAACAATATTTAATAAACTGCCCTCCTGAAGGGAGGAACTATAGGAATAGTCTTGTTATGAACTACCTATCAAATCTTCTATTGAGCAGGCTCGCAATGACAACTTATTTTCCTTCAATCTTTTTTTTTAAAAAACAAACAAACTGAACATCTAAAAGACAGTAGAAATTAACAAACATTACAATGGTTGTGAAAAATAAATTTATGAATATAACAAAAAGAATATTTCTTCCAGAAATCATGTATAAAGCTTATACAATCCACAATTACTGTAGCTGATGTATTTAGAATTAAACCAATAAACAGCACTGTAGAAAATAAGCAAGCCTGAATACAATTGCTTTGACCAAAAGGAATTGTAGAAGATTGTAAACCTTAAAACAGAATATTCTGCAATTAAAGAATCCATAGAACAGAATAATCATTTCATTGAGAACTTGTGATATACTGAAGGATAAAAAGGGATTTGATGCTTCTTACAAAATTCTAATTCATGTAGAACTTTGTTAACTATACATTTAAATTAATTTAGCCTTTGCCTTGGTTTACTTTTTTATGTGTCACCTCTGCCATTCAAAGGCCAAATACCTGTCATCCTGAAGTTAATGTATGCTTATATACTAGCTTGAATACAATTTACTAAGACTAGACGTTCATTTCAGTTTCCTTTCTATTTCCTATTTAGTTTTGCTATCCAAACTATTTTCATTAGTAAGCATTAGACTGAATTAAGACTATACATTGCTTCAGTGCCAAAAGCAAAAAAAAGTGGTTCAAGTATGTGGAGGGCATAAGCAGAGTATCTGTCCAGTATTCAGCTGTGCCTTTTGCCAGTTGTGGAATAGTAGTAGGCAGCCACACAATCCTAAGAAAAGATGCATTTGATTTAAGGAACAGGAGGCAGCTGTTTCATTTGAATCTCTGCACGCTCCAAAGCACCTTTTTCTCTTTGAAGGTGAAGCAATCCACAGCCTTAATTTGTATTATAGAAGGAAGAAAGCTCTTGAACAGCACAGTAATGGAAACAGCTGAAAAAACATATTTGTGCACAATCACCTAGTATCTGTTCAGTTGTGGATACAAAACACAGAAATTGTTTTGTGAATCAATTTTAAGGCACTTTTACTTTGAGCAAGTATGTGATGCTTAAGTATGTGAGTATATGTGTGTATACTGAATATAGGGACAGAGAGGTTTTACTTTTAAAAGGGTTGGAATATTTTACCAATTAATTAGTTAATATATTTTCTCAAACCTAACCTAATTAAAACTATACAATAATTATTTATTCCATGAAGTATTGTCTGCAATACTAAGTCAAATCATCTTCGAAAGTATGTCTTTTTGGCATTAATGTCTGTTGTGGCATAAGTGCATATAGTCTAGAAACAATAGATCAATGCTTCTATTGTATACACATTAATTCAATAAATCAGGTTTATTTCAATAGTTTGCTATATTCTACTTGCAAGTACAGGATTCAAGTAGAATTGGATTTAAAAAATATCTAAATTAAGAGTATTCTTTATTTTCTTAAGCTCAAAACAACTGTATTAATAGTGAGTATGGTATTTGAGAAGAAAAGACAGTATTGTAGCACAAAAGCCTTTACAAATAACATTTAATGTACTCACCTATATAATTAGTTATGTAAATGTATTTTCTTTTTTGTATTTGCTTGACTTTTCACAATCGTTATAATGAAAAATGCATATCATACAGCCTATTACAGTTCTGTATTACTACATTGCTCTGCGTACACATACACACACACACTGAAAAATGTATTTACCACAAATGATACTGCTAGAGTATTCACCGTGTGCTGTTACACAATTAGTAGTTAAATATTAGGTTTAAAATTAAGCACAAATTACTATATGATTTAGAACATCTTAATACTTTTCATTTAGTTAGATCTCTGTTATTACACTAATGCATCATGATTTAAAACTTAATAAAATACATATAAAAATAAAAATATAACCACTAAATTCTTATCAGAATATTCTGATAAATAAACAAAAAATGAACTAATGCTCTACTTCATTATTGCATTTCTGAAAAACAATGCAAATGATAAGCATCAAACTTTACTAAATATAACTGTCAAGGACAATTTGAAATCTGTGTATCAATGTACAACAGATACAACAATGTATCAATCCCAAAGCAGAAAGGGCCTAATTGATGCTACATCTGATTTTTCACTTCCATTAGCAAAACATGAGATGATCAATACCATTATAGGTTAAGATTGTACTAATGATTCTTCTCTATTTGATCATGTATCTAAAATACTTCTATCACATTTGGCATTATAACTTCTAGCATATTGGAGACATTTTCTTTCAGAAATGACACTTTAACAATAAGTACAAGAGATTAAGATCCTTGGCCCATGTTGTCTGTTGTTCTGTCTACTTGCCTGCCATCTATCTTATCTAGGTATCTATCGATCTTCCTATAATTTACTTCTTATATTTTGAGAATAGCTTTTACTCTAGCTTTTATAATGCAGAAAAATTAAAACAGAGCTCTTGTGAATATCATTGGACTCATGCACAATTTTTGTTTTAACCTGAAGTTAATTAAAATAATCAGTGGGGTTTTCTCCCAGAAAAATATATCATGTTTATATTGCTGCAACTTCAAAAATACAAAAAAAAAATTGTCACAAAATCTTATTAAACCTTAAGGGATAAGAGAATCTTAAACCTTTGTCTCAAATCTCTGGTATACTCAACCCGCTACCTAAAGGACTTTTCCAAGGCAGATGCTGCTAAGAGATAATGACTAATTAGGTCTTGAAATCCTCAGGTCTTTAAATGCAAAGAAGAGAACTTCAAACATGACAGTTCATACTGTCTTAGAGCGATCAAGTTCTCTATCTCCATTGCCATATAGACCTGAAACTATTGACAGTGAGTAGATTTTACACTGACCGTGGTCTATGGCAGCTTTTAAGGTCGCTTCAGGATGTGTCGATCCAAGGGGGTTACACACAAATTGTCGCCGGCGCCGCAAGTCATCTTCCCAGTAGTCAAGGCGCCAGAACTCACGAGGACGACTACAATGAAATAGAGAAGCCACATATGTTAGCAATTACCAAACAGCATGGTAGCACTGGATTTCTGCATAAAGCTTTCCTTGTTTGCTCTTTTCCTTTTCATTTTTTAAAAACAGCACCCTAAACCCTTTCTACAATCTTTAAGTTAGATACGTCCTTGAAAATAACAGTATCACCTTCCAGTCTGAGAAACTCCTTTTCCTTTCTTTCTTAGAAGGTGAAATGAGCACTAAATACATCATTTTGAAATGAATTGCTGACAGTATGATCAGTTTCCCCACACTCTAGTGGCATGTGCTCCGATTTCAGCCTCATTTCAGCCTCAGCAGGGCACCTTTCTCAGTGACTGCATTTATAAACCAGAATAGGGAAAAGCTATTATAAATATGGTATAGCATTACCTATATTAATCAAAGTCTGTCCCCCTTCATTTTTCTTCCTAATTTGTGCCTTTTTGTACAAGGTCACTAAATCTTATCATGAATTCTTGGTTGAGAAAGTATTAACTTTAATGAATACTTCTGTTGCATGATTATGTATGTGATAATAAAATATTACTCTATTTAGATCTTCAGGAATTTAATTAAAATAATCTTTTAAAATATTCATTACTTTTAGCCCCCGAGGCATAGAATGTAAAAAAAAAATCCTTTTTTGTTTGCTTTTCCTGCTTTTAAATAAACTATTCCAGGAGAGTGAAATAACAGTTTATTCTCAAGCAAATCAGATTTGGTTTCTGTTTTTATGTAGCTAGATTTTTGCATTTAATTAAGAACTTCATGTTACGATGAGAATACTGAAAGAATACATCTTAAAATTTACATTTGTAAAAAGGTTCTACAACATTTGTTATTTTCCATATTGTATTATTCAAATATGCATAGATTTTTTTAATATGGGCATATATAAATGCCAATTCCCATCATGAGAAAGTGTGCTATAAAACTGTATATTATCCATTAAAAAATGGCAATAGCAGCCAATTCAAGTATGTATTCATATCTAGAGATACAAATAAATATGTAAAATAATAAAAGCCTGCAGAATAACACTGAGATATACTGCCAACATCTACATTCCCCACTTACAGATTATATTATTTATAAAGAAATATCTATTGTAAGAATGTAAGCAAAAATTACTTTCTATATTATCATTTCATTTTATGAGGTAATAATCATTGCACATATGTCAACTTTGAAAAATAAATAGCTCTGATTAATTTACTGAATGTAAATGAATACAGACTCACAATACCAGTGATTTTCTTATTTAATCTCCAGAAATATAAAAGTTTATTTTTTGAGAGTAAATGAAAATTTATAAACTTCTGCTCTTGTAAGCCTAATTGTTGAAAGTCCATCCTATGAAACCTAATATTCATGCAACATAATCTTAATTTTTAAAAAATCTTTACTTTTTCCTGATAGTATTCTCATTACTCTGTAAATTATCTGCATCCCTGGTAAATGAAACACATACATTTTTACTATCCATAATATATTTATTTCAGAAATTTAAAGCAAAATCTTCAAGACTAGTTTGTAACTTATTTTGTAAAATTTATCAAGGGCAGGAATATGCATTAAAAAGCTACATTTGTTCAGACTGTGATTAATAACTTAAAATTCACCACAGCAACTATGAAAAAAAGGCAGATTACTACTGCCTCTGTGTGCATGTATTTGATAGTCATGAAATCTGAACAGATACTTCATCATTCTGCCTTTCTTCACTTATCTGTTAAAATTATTATCAAATATCAACTCAGATAGGAGTCTCAAATCACAAATTGTTCCTCATCTTCTGGGGAATTATATAATGGAGTCTATTAATCAGTATGGCAATCAGCACAAATAACTAGTTACCTAGACTAAGATTTTTTTGTGTATATTGTACTGTTATATATTGTATCTAGTGCCACAAACATATGAAAATTAACATCTAGTATAGGCTTATAAAAATTATTAAGAGCTTCTGTCATAAATTCTAGTACACTGTACTACAATATTGTTCAAAGATATTAAATTATTAAGGTCAAGCAGTCAACTTTTTCTACTCTTAATGAAATTAATTTATGTTTTAGGAGAGTTAAAATTACTAAAATTATATATAATCACAAAATAACATATGAAAGGAACTGGAAATATATAAAAGGCACTGCAAAAGTATAGGTATACTGTAGATGAGATAGTTCTAGACACAGAGATAACAATAGAGATTTTGATACCCCAAATACACAGTATAGGGCAGGCATGTCAAACTCACAACGTCATGTGACATCGTGCAACATATCGCAACTTTTCCCCCATTGCCAGCAATGGGATGGGCACGCTTTCGGCATGACGCATCTGGCCTGCGGGCTGGCAGTTTGATATGCCTGATATAGGGAGTCAGGTAAATAGTGCAATTAAAAAGTTATTTTATCAGAGAGGAGGGCCACTGAGAGAAACATTTCCAAAACAACCACCCCAAAATTATCATGACTAAATATATATATGCAAACAGCAAATCTCAGGTTGGACAAATAAACCAATGTAATTAGTTATCATTACATTTTTATTTGTTCCGTTCCTATGTTTATGAAATTCTAGCATTTTCATACTGGTTAGAAATTATCAGCAGCACCTCTGTTTGACACAGCACCACATTACCAGTTTCTTGTGGAACTGGTTTTTCTTAACAGCAGAAAGGAAAGGACCATGGCTACAATTTTACAAAAAAGAAAAAGGTTTTATAAGCAAAAATAACAAAATGCTATTTTCCTCTAAACAAAAAATGTGAATAGAGCATCATTTATTTTGAGGCATAAAAATCCTCAAGAAGCAATCTAAGATTTTAGAGAAAAAACCAGTGACCAGAACAAAACTAATATTTCATGAAATGACATCCCTAAAATGAATTAGTGCAGTGCAACAACCCCTATTGCAGGACTAATTTAAAAAGCAAATTAAAACTTATATATGCGAAAGGCAATTCTGCAAAACAGAAAGTTCAGACCAGTAGCCTTAATAAACCACATGCTGTAATGAAAACAGGAGACTAGTCTGGAGCTCATTTCACAAGATGCCTGTTCAAAGAAAAACATCTCTTGTTTCCTGGGCTGGAGGTTAAATACATCATGCAGGTAAAATGTTTGCTTATGCCTGGTCATGAATGTGAGTTTTATACCATCGAGGAAAGTGCCTGACTGACACATCTAGAAGTTGAAACTATCAATTATCCTCAAAACAAATATACTTGTGATGAGCATGTAATAATGTTATCTATGTGTTATCCTTAGGTTTGTTTAAAGACAATAAAATAAGTGTCATTAACAAGCATAAATGTTAGAGTAATATTGTTAGGTGCGGTTATGCCAGTGATGGTCCATTAGAAATGCGCTGCACAGAGAGCCAGGAAACTGAAGATAAATCCTTCTCATGAATATATTTCCCTTCCTCTAGGAATGGTATCCTCAAATACTTTTATCCAACGGTAATTTCAGGTTATTCACCCTTTCCAGCTACATGACTTTAATTTTCAGCATTGGTAAAAAAAAGAGTTGCAGGTGCTCATAGAACTGAGTACCTAAAATGGCGAGCTGTTGAAGCAAAAATGGGAGGATGGAACTGTACCCTAAATACAGAGGTAAGGGCATTTAGACAAGAGGAATTACTAAAAACAAGTCATTAAAAAACTCAAAGCTAACAGTTTAGAACAGGGGTGTCAAACTGCTGACCCGCGGGCTGGTTTCATCATACTGAAGCCGCGCCCATCCCATTGCCAGCAATGGCAAAACCGGCCCAATACATTGCGCGATGTCACATGACATGTGACATGTTTTAGAACTACCATATGACATTTCACAATTGGTGCTCATTTACAACCATTGTAACATCCCAAAGTCACCACTTGTGTTTTTTCACAACTGGCTTCTGACAAGCAGAGCTAATGGAGAATGCAGAACTAAAATCACAAGTTGCAGTCACGTGATGTCTTATTTAACAACTGAGTGAGAAATGCCATCATAAAATAATGGACACATGATTTTCTACTTAATGATCATAGCACTTAGCGATGGAGTTGTCAGTTCCTGTATTAAACTCATAAATATTCTGTTTAAATGTCAACTTACTAATTCTTCTGCTAAAAACTAAAATCTTTAACAAGATTTTAGCCATTGCCTCAGTCTCTGTGTATGCGTTGTATTATATAATAATCTCATTCCATTCCATTCCATTATGAACGGAAGTTGCCTCATGAAATTATGCTAATGACTGTTTTTTAAATATGTTTAAATGATTACAACAGAATTTGATGTGATTATCAACCATTTTTCCTAGCTTTACATCATCTGAAACTAGAATGTATAGGAAGCCTTTAACTTTCCATTTTTCACATTTAGGACCATTGCAACATCCCCATGGTTATGTGATCAAAATACAGATGCTTGGCAACTGGTGTGTGTGTTTGTGTGTGTGTGTGTATTTAATGAATGATTTAGTTATTTTAATTAATTTATTGTTTGGCTGTTTATAAACAATTGCCTCAATGGCCTAAAGTAGAAAACAGGACAAAAATAATAATTGCTGCTGCTGCTGCTGCTACTACTACTACTGCTGCTGCTGCTGCTGCTACTACTAAAAGAGTGAAACTGTGAAAAATCTTATAGTTAATTTAAATGTAAAGACCATCCCAATAACAGCCATATTAAGTTAACTTTTTGATGGTATTATATTCATGAATTAATTAAAAGCTATTTGAAAGAGCTCTGCTTTGATCAAATTTCAAATGACCAGTCTTGTGGGAACTCAAATTGCCTTTGGAAAGTTGTTCATTGTTTTTGAAAATAGAGCTAAAATAGAAAACTATTTCTTCTCTACTTCAGCCTCCCCTAATTCCACAGTTCATATTAGATTTTGATTATTTGAAGGAGGTGGTCCTAAAAGTACCTTGCTGCCAAGCTGTGTAGCTGTTTACAGGTTAGAGCCTATTTCTCTGTATATAAATTATACTTT